GAGTTATAGTCATTTTAGAATGTTGTGTCAAATTCCAGTGTAGAGCACAATTTTTCAGTTATGCACGAACATACATATATTCAGTCACATTTTTTTTTTCCGTTGTGAGCTACCACAAGATCTTCTATCTGTTTCCCTGTGCTATACAGTATAATCTTGTTTATCTCTTGTACATTTTCAAATCCCAGTCTGTCTCTTCCCACCCCCCACCCCCTTGGCAACTACAAGTTTCTATTCTACGTCTATGAGTCTGTTTCTGTTTTGTGTTTGTGTTCCTTTTTTATTTTAGATTCCACATATGAGTGATCTCATATGGTATTTTTCTTTCTCTTTCTGGCTTACTTCACTTAGAATGACATTCTCCAGGAACATCCATGTTGCTGCAAATGGTGTTATGTTGTCATTTTAATGGCTAGATAGTATTCCATTGTATAAATATACCACACCTTCTTTATCCAGTCATCTGTTGATGGACATTTAGGCTGTTTCCATGTCTTGGCTATTGTAAATAGTGCTGCTATGAACATTGGGGTGCAGGTATCGTTTTGAAGTAGGGTTCCTCCTGGATATATGCCTAGGAGCGGGATGAGTGGGTCATATGGTAAGTCTATTCCTAGTCTTTTGAGGAATCTCCATACTGTTTTCCACAGTAGCAGCACCCATTTAATCCTTAACGATACCTTCCTGCCCTGTCAGACTGAACATGTGGAAGAAGAGGCCCCCACCTTGACCACTAGATGATTCACTTTTTAAGGACAAGGAGCATGATTGAACTGATCTGTTTGCCTTCTCCAGGAAACCCTTTGAGAGACACTGACCAACTATTGGCCCCTTCACTTCAATGTCCACTCCTTCCTCAATGACTGCTCTTGGAGCGTTCCCTTATGTAAGAACTGCCCCCATACCTTGGCTCTATCACTGATCCCATCTGTTCAGCATCTCTATAGTGCTCAGAGGCAGTTCCTTGCCTGCACCCTCTAGTGGTCACAAGGGGATGCATGACTCTTTCTGGAGCTCTCTCTGAGGACCTCCATCAGCACCCTCTGGTGTGGGCCAGGGACCCAGAGTCATGTAGACTCAGGCTTCAGAAGTGCCCCCTCCCAGGGTAAAGAGGGGACTGTTCCTTGAGGAAGGACCTCAATTCTCTGGGTCGTCCACTCCTGGTAGTCCTTTAAGGAAGACCCATCCTTGCCTGACAGTGACCAAAATTAGATATGAGAGGGACTTGGCAGCAGCCCCAAATTCCTCTTCAGCAAGTCAGCAAGAGCATCTGACTCAGATCCTATATAACGGATGTCTGTTCTTGGCTCCCACGGTCCTTTGTTCATTGAAACGTCTATGCCTAGTAATGTGCTAAATTCCCAAGTTTACTTCTCTTACATACCTTTCATATGTTTCAGTCTCTCTAAAAAGTGGTGTCCTCATCTGAAAATAGGGAACACCTGCCTTACCTACCTATGGGGCTGTGATGAGGATCAAGCCAGAGAGCAAATGTAACATGGGTGTGAAATTTAGGGTAGGCCACCCTCCTCTCCCACTGCCATCTTGGAGGTACTGGAGCCCATGTGCAGATTAAGCCTTGAGAGCTGCCCACAATCTTGCAGCCTCCTTCAGATAAATAAGCAACCCTGCTCTAATTGAACTCTGGGTCATGTAGGATCACTGATGCCTTTGGGCCAATTAGGAAAAGGCATCACTTCCTCCAAGTAGACATGGCTTTTGCTGGGTGCTTGGCTTAATGAGTGGATATGGGCATCTCTGGAGCCAGACACCCTTGTTCAGTGAACAACCCACACAACCAGACGTGGAGGCTTTGGTACCATATGCATCTATGAATCCCTCTCCTTACTCCATGAATGACATGACACTGAATGGATATGCTGACCACATTTCCAGACACTGAAAGAGTAGAGAACTAACAAGGTGGCTACTGAGTTGCTCAGACCTGTACTTCTGGCTAAAATGATCTTATGACTGACATGCCCCATTCCCTGTGCATTCTTTTCTTAGAATAACTTATCCTTTTACCCTAGAGGTCTTGAAATGAGGTCATGGACTTATCCTCAAGAAAATGGGCAGACCCACCTAAATTCCTCTGTAACAACAGCAAGTTCCTGTCAAGATGGAAGGAATGTAGCCCCTGCTCACACTTTGACTGTTATCACTCTTCTGTACCCATTTTTCTATAAAATCCCAGGGCTCACAATCTTTAAGGCACTAGCCTGATGTAACCTCCTCTGCCTGGCAAAGCAATAAAGCTGTTCTTTTCTAATCCTCCCAAAACTCTGCCTCCAACTTTCAATTTGTCTGTCGGGGTACAGAGGTCGTTTTTTTTGGCAATAACACCAAAACAGTCACTGTTTAGGGGGAAAATTCAGCAACACACAGGTGGCTTTGCCTCCATTTAGGGGAGGAAAAGCCCAGCCCTCTGACTGGGTTTGCTTGATGTCCGAGGGCACTGGAATAAACATTGCTCTTGTCACTGCCCCTACGGCCCAAAGAAGAATTCCTCCCTTATATGACCAAAGTTCCTACAGTGGATTTAATCCTTAAGTCACTCAAAGTACAGATGAAGGCTTGGGTTGTGGACAGTGATGAGTTAGAGACTTAGACTTTGAAGGCAAGTGAGAACAAATAACCCAAAGATGAAAGACGACAGCCCTGGGGAGGGAGGAGCAGGGCCTATGAAGGGCATTCAGACTCAGTTTTCTTCTGTCTCCCATGCTGCTCTCTGCTGTCTCCACTTCTCTTTCTTCTCCTCTCCCCGTCTTTCCTCCCTCTATTCTCTTCTGCCTCTTTCTCTTTACTCCTCTGCTTGGCATCCATCTTCCTCTCTTCTCCCTTCCTTCTTTCCTATCTCACTTCTCCTTTTCTCTACTAACTGGCTTACAATTTGGAATTAAAGAATATTTGATAGGATGATGTATTCTATTATTTGTATTTAAAAATGAGGCAATCTTCTCAAGAAAATAGCAATTCTATTAAATTGCCTTTTTAATTTGTATATAAACCATAGTACTTCTTCCTGTGCATCAGTCATCTTTGATAGAGAAAAGTTTCCCCCAACACACACACATACGCACAACACACACTGTTTGTACAATGCAAGGGAGGGGAGGGAAGCCACCAAGGAGGCACTCGTCAGATTAGCATCAAGGGGAAGTCCTCAGGATGCCGGCAGCAAGGAAGGTTTAGGATCGTAGAATGTTAAAGGTGGACACTCTACTCCAAGCTCCTTGCTTTGTTTTCAGGCCCCCCACCCCACATCCCTGGAGTTTTCTGGAGAAGTCAAATAGATCATTTCAGTGCCCCTAGACAGAAAATGGAGGTCCAGAGAAGTTACATGATTTCTTCAATGTCACAAAACCAGTTCATGGCAAAACCTTGAGTAGATCCTATTTGTCAAGCACAACAAATGTATAACACTGAGTCTGTTGTATGAAGACATCATAGGAGCTATAAGAATTGGAATAGCTGAATAAGACCCAGTTACCACTTAAGTAGAATTATGACCTCCAGGGAGAATACAGATCATTTAAACAACACTCATCTACCAGGTGGACAAAATTGGATTCAACCCCAAAGTCTATAGATTACATGTCAAATTCACATTCACACACAATAGGTCACTCTAATGGAGGGGTCAGGGATATGGGCCATGTACACAGGAGATGATCTGTTTTCCCTCCAGCCCTCAGTATGCACCCAGTGCCTCCCTGGCTGCCTTGTTAGACGGCAGTTCACCGCAAGCAGCTGCTCCTGTTACTGTCCTTCCCCCTGTGTCCTCTAAGTACCTTCTGCAATCTGCCATGTGATTCCTCTTCCTAGCGGGCTGTGATCTGCAATTAGCAGGCAGTCTTGCTGACTGGCTTTGAGTTTATTAAGTCCTGAATTCCCAAGAACACTTTCCTTCCTTCCTTCCTCCCTCCTTTGCTTTCCTCCATCCCTTCCTTCCTCCCTCCTTTGCTTTCCTCCATCCCTTCCCTCCTTCCCTTTTTTTCTTTACTTTCATCTTTCTCACCAATCACTTTCTGTTCAGCTGAAAAAATATTTGTGGAATATTTTAAACTAAACAGTTTTCTGGGTACTAGGAATACAGACACAATAAACCAGGGTCCCTGCCCTTCATTTGATTATGGTGTCATGGGAGGGGGGGATGACACATTCATGAAGAACACTTTCCCCCCTCTGAGATGGGAAGGGATAAGGGTGCCATGGGCCCAGTGGGGGCAGGGTGAGTGGCTGGTCAGGATAGGCTTCTGGGAGGGGGGAACACGTGAACTAAGTTTTGAGGCATGAAAGGAGTTGGCCAGGCTAAGTGAAGAAGAGTAAAACTAGTTCTGTCAAAGGAAAGGTGACAAGTTGGTGGGAAAGGGGGTTGAGAGAGAAGTTGTGCTCACCTGTGTCATTACGAAGTTTTCCCAAACTGAGACCATCTCTCTGTGTTGAGGGAGAAACAGGTAGAAATGCATAGATTCTCTTTTGACTCTAGGAACAGTTTCCTTTGGTGGTAAAAGTTATGTTGGAATAATGGAATAAAACTTCAAAACATGTGCAGAGGAGAGGGGTATATGGGAACTCTCTGTACCATCTGCTCAGTTTTTCTGTAAATCTAAAAATGTTCCAAAAAATAAAGTTAATTAATTTAAAATTTTATGTTGGATTATCTAATTTTTTGGAACATGGGGTCAGCCAATGTTATCTTTGTTGCCACTGAGAACATAGAACTCCATGGAGGTCAGGATGACGAGCATCGCTTCTTCCCCACCCCTGTTTCTCCCTAGTGCTTCCCCATCTCAGTAAAGGGCCCCACCATCACCCTGTTCAGGCCAGGCTGATTTGATTATCTTCATCCCTCCCTCTCCCTCACCCTACATCTGGACCATCACCTAGTTCCATAGACTGTACCTGAAGCTCTCTCCGGAATCCATCCAGTCTGCTCCACCGCCTTTTCCTCCTCCTGGAACGAGCCACCATCACCTTTTCCCAGCCTGGCTTCCTCAATGGGCTCTTAAGTGGATATCCCACTTCTCTTAGTCTGCTTAAGCTGTCACCACAAAGTACCGCAGACTAGTGGCTTAAACCACAGAAATTAATTTTCTTACATTTCTGGAGGCTGAAAGTCTGAGATCCTGGGGTCAGTAGGGTATTTCTTCTGAGGCCTGTCTTCTTGGCTCGTGGGTAGCTGTCTTCTCCCTGTGTCTTCACATGGTCTTCCTAACGGGTATGTGCACCTGTGTCTTCATATCTTCTTACAGGGATGCCAGTCATACCAGATTAGGGCCCACCCTAATGGTTAAAGAATTAATCGTTGAAGAAAAAATTTTTTAATTAAATAAAAATTAAAAATTAAAACGTCAGTGTATGAATTGAGTATATAACAACACTTCCCCTCTGTGGCCCTCTGAGCCATGCTTCACGCACTCACCAAAGCAATCTTCTGAAAATGGAAGTCAGATCAAGTTACTTACTTTCTTAAAAGTCTTCGGTGGCTTCCCAGTGTACTTAGAATGAAATCCAGACTCTTCCCCGTTGCTCACAAGGCACGGTCTGACCCCTAGAGCCTCCCCAAGCTCTCCGTGCCTCTTGCCCTGCTGATCACGGTGCAGCCACACGGCCTTCCTTGTCTCTAAAATACATGAAGCTCTTCTATCCTCTGCCCCCTCTTCATTGGCCACCCCAACTCATCCTTCGGTTCTCAGACTCCTTCCCTGAAGGCCTGGTCTCAAGTAGGCACCCACTGTGATTCTCAATCCTAGCCCCCAGTTCCTTTACTTTGTAGCTTTTATCACAATTTGATATCTTTTTTTGTTTGTTTATTTGTCTTGTTTGTCTTTCTGAGGACAAAGACCATTTCAGTTTTGTCCACACCTGAGTCCTTGCCCCTAGCAGAGTGCCTGGTACAGGAAACGTGCTCAGCAAATATTTATTGACTGAGTGACAGAATGAACTGAGAACTTGGACTTTATTCTGAGGGCACAGGAAGCTGCTGAAGGATTTCTAGCAGGGAAATATTAACATGGTCAGATGTGCATTTTAGAGAGATCACTCTGGCTACAGTGGGGAGAGGATGAGTTAAGGGGCCAATCACGGAATCAGGGAAACTCATGGGAAGACTATTGCGATAATCCAAGTGAGAAATGAGGAAATATTGAACTAGGGTCATGGAAATGAGAAAGAAAAGGAGGTAGCATTTGTAGGACGTGACAGTTTATTGGATGTAAGAGGTGAAGGAGGAGGGATGACTCCCAGGTTCTTGGACCTGGTGAGAAGGTGACTGGGAGTATCTTTCATGGAAACTGAAAGAGAAGAGGAGGAACAGGTTGGTTTTGAGTCTTGGAGGATAAATTAGGAGAATACTTATCTCCCCAGTGGAAGGCTCCCCTTAACACAGGGACTGTGTTGAAGTTCCCATTTAAAAAATACCTTGCATATACTAGGCCCTCAGTGATCCCAGTTGGGGGCAGTGCATGTGGGCCCTTAGTCACATGCATGATGTCACTTATAGAGACCCTCACACCTGTCCACAAGCCCATACACCCTGGGGATGTTGGTTCTCCAAATTCCCATGTCGCTCATCCTCCAGCCCAGCCCTGCTCAGCCTGTTTCATTCCTGATGGCCCCCCACCCTTTGCTTGTTTTCAGCCCTGGCAGAAACAAAGCAAGCCCAAAATACACTGTCCAACTGGCAAGTGATGAGTGATTAGCTGCCTGGCTCTAAAAGGCTGGAATGAGACGGCCTTTCAGTGCTAAGTGAAGTAACCCTAGCCCTCGGCTTGCTGTAATTCTAGATGGAGGTGGACTGGGACTGGGCGTGGACAAGGCAGCACGAATGGACCCTAGAGGTCCAGCGGGAAGCAGGAAGAGAGCGCATCTCTCTGCAGTCATTTGAAAATATGAAATTAATGCTCAAATGGAGGTAAATGAGATGCACTGGATTATGTGAGAGATTGAGTGATTCTTCTTACTAAAGGGAGGCTCTCTGCAGGAGGCGGGATGGCAGACTTGGTGGCCACACTTGATCTCTTTCTTGTTTCTCACCTACGTTGAGATACCACATTTATACAAGGAGATTCTCCTTTCTTTCTTTTTTTTTTCACTTTATTTTTGCCAAATATCCTACAGCTCTGTGGCGTTGGGCAAGTAACAACTTCTCTGACCTTCAGACTCTTCATCAGTAAAGTGGGAGTCATAGCCCATACCTCAAAGGGTTGTTGTGAGACCCTAAATGAGCTAAAGGATTTAAAGGAACAACTGGGTTATGAGAGGCATTCCAGTATCTAGGTGGTTAGTTCCTACCAAAAGCAAGTCTCTATTTCTGATGTACCAGGGCACTGGAAGAATGCAGTCAGCACTCAGATGCCTGTGATTTACAGTGTGATACAGTTTTCAAGGTCCCTCTGTGTTGTACCATTTATCAGAATTTCCTTCCTTTTTATGGCCAAATGATATTCCATTGTATGGATATACCACATTTTGTTTATCCATTCACCAGTTGATGGACATCTGGATTGTTTCCACTTTGGGGCTGTTATGAATAATGCTGCTGTGGACATCTGTGAACAAGCTTTTGTGTGAACGTGATTTCAGTTCCCCTGAGTGCACCCCTAGGAGTGGGACTGCTGTCTCACAGCTCTTCAGTGTACATTTTGATGCATTTCATGTGAAGCCCTTTTCACTCATGAAAGTTTCAGCCTGGACTTGGGACTTGAGTGAGCAGACAGGAACCTAAGTCACCAACAACAGGTGGTGGGATCCAAGTCAGCAAGAAAGCCCAGCCAGAGTCCCACCAGCAATTCTTTTTCCCTCTCTCCCGTGCCCCAAGGGGCTCAGTGGTTTCTTCAATTCAAAGATGCCATCTATTTGATAAGCATTCGGAGGGCCAGGGTAGGGGAAGTGGTGGTAGGAAAGCTTCTGTTGACTGATTGTAAGATGCCTCCTAATTTAAAAGTGCTAAATTGTTTGGGGAGGGGAAAGGGATTATGGTATTTTTAGACCTGAGGAGATTACAGTTGTACATTGAAAGGTTACCCTCAGAGTCCAATCCAGCATTTTTATAGGGCAGAAAATGGAGGGATCACTCCACAGCTTAGACAACAGCATAGGCCTACCCTTACTGCTGGGGCCGCAGAGAGAGGTGTTAAAGACACAGAAGTGCCAGAAGGCTGGGCTACTGTCCATCCACTGAGCATCTCTGACATGGCCTCTAGGGCCACCCAGTGGAGGCAAAGGTTACTCTGTGCTACATCAGACACTAAGCAGTTGGGATCTGCTCCTTAATTCTTCATACCATGGTGTCCTGGGAAAGGCTCAGGAGCTCCAGGTGGCAGAGCCCAGAGAACTCTGGACTCTGAGCCCAACCTGTTCTTCCATGCCACGTGGCACTTCACCTCCCTGGGCCTTGGTTTCCTGATCTGTGCAGTCAGGAGGGTGATCCTCTCCCTGCCTGACTCACTCTGTCATTATCAGGACCAAGCAAAATGAGGTAGTAGGGAGGTGAGCACTCTATTTATTTTATTACATTGAGAATAGAAAAGGAGCTGATTAGGGCACACCGCCATACACAACAGCAGGCCACGCAGGCAAGAGGTGCCTGTGTGAGCCGTGAGCACTCTTTACAGTGAGGGACACATGTGAGTGGTGACTTATTACAGGCCTGGATTCTTTGAGGCTCATTCGTCTATTCATGCCACAGATTTGATGGGTACCTGCTTACAGTTTAACCTCAGTCTAACTCACTCTAACTTCAAAGGAAGTTCCTTAGGCCTCCCTCCTAGTACTCATGCCTCCTACTCCCTGCCCAGAACTCACACCTTCCTGAAACTGGTCTTTTCAGGGGTCTCCTCAGGACTGTTTCAACTCATTTATATTTTGGCTGAGATCTCAATGTCAGAGCCACATGCAACATGCACCGCAGCCTGCCCCAGACAGTGAGGAAAACAAATCTGGTTTACTTCTAATGCGTTTTCCAGCAGTGCCCAGCAGACACCTCCTAAGACAGAGCAAATTCTTTCAGGCTTTGGGAAATATTTAAGAATTTGAAGTAACTTCTTCAAAGCATTCACTTCTGTTGTCTTTCTATCACCATGCGCTGGGCTCAAAAATGAGACTCCTATCACCCTTTGATGTTCTAATGGCTTTGTAATTATACAAGTGACAAGAAAAGAAACTTGAAAAGTAAAACGCACACCCAGATGTCCACCAGTGGATGAATGGATGAACAAAATGTGGTACAATGGAGTATTACTGAGTAAGGAAGGAAATTCTGACACACGCTGTTCACCAACGAACCGCGAACACATTGTGCTAAGGAAAATAAACCAGACACAAAAAGACAAATACTGTGTAATCTCACTTGTATTAGATACCCAGAAAAGTCAAATTCACAGGGAAAGAAAACAGAATAAAGGTTACTAAGGGCTGAGGGGAGGGGAGAGTGGGGAGTTTTTGTTTGATGGTTGTACAGTTACAGTTCTAGAGATGGATAGTGGCGATTGCACAACAGTGGTCATGTATTTAATGCCACTGAATAGTACATTCAACATGGTTACAGTGGTAACTTTTATGATGGATATTTGGTTGTTTGGCTTCTTTCCAGTGTTTTATTATTATGAATAAGGCCACTAAAAAAAGTTAAAGGAAGCCTTTAGAATGTTGTGATATAGTAAGGGGAAACATAGGTTGTAAAAGACTGTCATGCTCTTTCCACCATCTTTCTGTGCCACCATAATGGTGCACATGGACATCCTGGCCAATGCTTTCAAGACCATCACATTGCTGAAAAGAGAGGCAAACACCAGGTTCTTACCAGGCAGTGCTTCAAAGCCATGGTCCAGTTTCTAACTGATGATGAAGCATCCATTCATGATCACAGAGCTGGGGAAATTGTAAACCTCACAAGCAGCTTAAACAATGGTGGAATGATTAGACTTAGTATGCAATTCAAAGATCTAGAAAAATGACAGACAACCTGATCCCATCCCATCAGTTTGGCTTCAGTGTACTAACGATCTCAGCTGACATCATGGACTAGGCAGAAGCAAGATGAAATCCCACAGGAGGGGAAATCACATACACCAACCACACACGCACACACACCAGTCCATTCCTTACTCTGTCTCCCAAGCATTAATCTTTAATGACTTGAATTCCTAAAGATTAGCCACTAGGGGGCACAATTTCATCACTTGAAAGCCTGGGTCCCATTTGCCTGATTGCTTACCAGTGCATTTTCCTGTCCAAAAATTATGTGAACATGAACCTAAGTGTTAAGGAAGCTTTTTGCCGGAGGAAAATCCAAGGTCACAGGCTCACAGTTCCACCCTTTTGTGGGTCTCCTCCCCCTTGCCTCCTTGCCTCCTTGCCTCCTTGCTTCCTCTCTGTGGTGACCAGCCCATTTCCCCTGGCCTGTGTTGGTAGGACCTTGCTTTGCTTACTCAGTCAGATGTTGCTAGAAATGAACTTTTTTCCCCTTGTGGACTATGAGGCTAAACATTATTTGTTCTCTCAAAGCACTGCTCAAGGCTGCCATGGGACAATATTTGGTTTGAAGGACTTTCTGCTTTGATTCAGCTCAGGATGGCTACCAATGTCAGGAACAGTCTCCCTGTTGCTTTTCAACCTACCGACTTCTTAGCAGGTGGTTTAAGACCATTCATTTTTCTTAAAAGGGATTTTGTTTATCCATTCATCCATTGATGGGCACTTGGGTTGTTTCCACCTTTTGGCTATTGTGAATAATGCTGCTATAAACATAGATGTACAAATATCTGTTGACGCCCCTTCTTTTAATTCCTTTGTGTATATGCCTAGAAGGGGAATAGCTGGATCAAATTGTAATTCTATATCAATTTTTTGAGAAATGACCATACTGTTTTCCCGCTTCACCATTTTACATTCCTACCACCAATGTATAGAGTTCCAATTTCTCCATATTCTCTCCAACACTTATTTTCTTTTTTAAAAAAATAACCATCCTAATGGGTGTGAAGTGGTGGAATCTGCACTTTTAACATGATCCTCCACATATTCATACCAAAGTTAGAGAATTGCTTTCTTTAGAAACCTCAGCAGCAGGAAGAGAAGGGGCGTTGAACCTTCTAAGTCTCAGAAGCAAAGCGGGGATTTAGCTGCAGGTGTCCTCTTGAGATATCTTGAGATATTTTGACCACCCCTAAAATTCAGGTGGTCTTGGAGAAATACTGGGATTCTGTGACAGTGGCTGTGTTCGTGCTTTCAAAAGTCCTGCGTGAGAATCATCTCCCATGGGAGCTTTAAAGTACAGACCGTGTATGACAAGCCACTGGACCTCTCTGTGCCTCAGATGCTTCATCTCTAAAATGGGACTGATAATCTTACCTACTTTATAGGGCATTTGTAAAACTTGAAGAGGTGATATATGCAAAGTGCCTTTAAAAAGTATTGTATTATTATTATTATTACTATTACTATTATTATTATTGTTATTATTATTATTATTATAACAAGTGACCCAAGATTACTAGAAACCATAACAATTAGAGTCATTTACTGGTCTAGTCCCCTGAGACCTAATGCCTTGATGATAGATCTGGTAATCAATCTACAGATTATTCTAAAATCTAATGGCGGGATCTATTTTTAAATAACTGCTTGTGAATATTCTCACAGTCCAGGAAGCATTTGCATTGGGCACCTAATTTAATGAAGCAAGGTTAGGAGTTAGAGGCAGCTCTGCTTTCGTGAAGGGTTTATCGCTGAGGATCTTATCCTGTGGGAAGCAATGCCGCTCCCTAACGTTGAGGAAGGGGTTGTGATGCATCTCATAGGGTTCTAGCAGTTTTATTTTGTTATTCAGATGCATTTTAAAAATCCCCCTGGAAGAATTTATACCATGTTCTGTTAAAAGGACTAGGATTTGTGGCAGAAAGTGAAGGGGAACTTCAGTTTTCGCCGAATTTACTTCTGGGTTGTTTGTTTACTTTACATGGGGAGGCCCTATATTATTTTTGCACTTATGAAAAAAAGAGTTTTTTAGTTAGTGCTGGAGGTACTCAGTGTGGCTGCCCCCTCCCACTTAAAACAGTACTGGCAGTGCACACACAGATACCCACTCAAAATAATATCCTTAGTGGAGGTCTGTCCCGATGGGGCTTTTTCTGTAGACCTGCATCATTGGAAACACCTCTTAGATGAACTTTGTGGTTTCCTTTAGTCACAGAACTAAGTGTTAGATCTGTGGGAAAGAACTACAAGACAGAGCTGCTAAATAAACTATGAAAAACCTAACAGTCTAACTTTTAAAATCTTGGGTATTGTCATAGTCCAGCTATCTGCAGTATTCTAGGGTGTGATACCTTAGGCGTGACTATGGCTTGAACTTAATGCATGTTTAGAGGGTGTCTAAAATTCAGAACCAGGCAGACCCATGTCCTCTGATGCTAAACGTGGTCCTAAAGTAACTTGCTTGAGGAAATTGGATCCCAAAGATTACTGGTGGGGAATTTTTAAAGTGTGCCCATATTCCACTGGAGATCAAAGAAGCCCAACTGAAAGAATTGTGGACTGACTGACATGACAACTACGGGTTGAGCAAAAATTCATTTTGAAAAGGCTGTCTTGAACATTATGGCTCAAACATTGGAGGAACCAAGGTGATTGGCAGTGCAAGAAAACAGAACATGTGAAATTCCTTAAAACTTTATTGACTTAAATAATTTTACTTGTTACGTAATTTAAAAACCCTTTTATATTTTTTGTAGGAAAAAAGTCCTTAATAATATGGATGATACCTTAGTAATTATCAATTTACAAAGCATATTCACATCCATTATCTCATTTATTGCATGGCATGGCTTTGTGAAGTATGTAGTATTTTACCCAGCTTACAGCCAAGAAGCTAAATGCACAATAAGTAGATGTAATTGTTATCTCAGCTGCATCTTTCTCCCTCCATATCCTCTGAGTGTTGTCTTTGGTTCACTTTGCTGTAGTGTTTCTGGCACTCATTCTAGTCCTATAATAAAGTATATTTATAATCCATTCATTTGAAGATAAGCATCCTTAGCTGAAACTGCCCAGATTGAAAGGACTATTCAGACTTGAGATGGGTGATGCCACCTTGGCCAGATGGGAGCTAGAGCAGCTGTGTTTGTTTGCCTCCTGAGGCTATCAAAACAGAATTCCTAAAAGGAAAATATTTCATACATATGTGTTTTAACAGAACCATCATTTTGTTTGGTCTGCATGGCAGGCAAAACCACATGAGATTTGTATCTTCCTATCACAGAAAGCTGAAATGTCAGGCAGTTTTCAAAGAGTTATAAATGGCTTTTCCAGTTTGGGCAGAGTGAACCTCATCATTTGAGGGTAGGTTATTCCTGCTGGCAAATGTGTGGCTTTTAATGATTAGGCAAATATGGATAATTCTGGTTGTTTGCCCTGCAATTGCAAAGATTTATTTGGCTTTTTATTGTTTAATGGTGGTGATTAGCAGCCATACGCAAATGAAAATGTCTTTGAATTACACAAGTATCTCCTTCTAAATCAAGACTTGACCTCAGGTAGCATTAGTAAACCAAGGGTCTCTCTGGGTTGGCTAGATAATTTACACAGTCTAGTACAAGATGAAAGTGAAGTGACCCTCGTTCAGAAATTATTAAGATTTCAAGATGGTGACATCAGAGCATTAAATCAAATGCAGGGCCCTTTGCAAGTGCACATGTTGTATATCCATGAAGCCAGCCCTGGATGTCTCTTACATTATCTATATTTATTTGTGGGTAGGACATTAACATACCACAGATTTTAAAAGGTATAAAATAAGTTTCTAGGGACAGGAAGTCTTCCTTCCCTATGTGGACCACTGTTAACCAGTTTCTTGTGTATCTTTCCAGAGATTTTCATTTACTTACAAACATACACAAACACAGTATATTATCTACCCTTCTTCAGGACCCACACATACAAATAGTAACATATTTTGCACATTGTTCTGCACTTTGTCTTCTTAGTAATTTATCTTGGAGATCATTCCTTATCACTTTAGGCAGTCTCCTCATTCTTTTCCATGGCTGCATGATATTCCACTGTATAGATGTAACATAGTTGTTTAACCAGTTCCCTTTGATGAATATAGAGGTTGCTTCCAATGACCATCAATGCTACAACAAAAACCCTTGCAGATCATTTTCCTACATGTGTGTTTCTGTGGAATTGTGAAATCAAAGATTATCATTTATTTTAGATTGTGATAGACCTTGCCAATTTCCCTCTAAAGAGATCGTACCAATTTACATTCTCACGAGTACAGATTTTTGGATCTCTGCCAATCCAATAGGTGAGACATTGTGCTTCCTTGTAGTCTTGATTTTCATTTCTCTTATCAGCGAAGCTGAATATCTTTTCAAATGGTTAGAAATCAGTGTCTTTTTTGAACTGTCCTCCTATCCTCATTATTTCTTTATTGTGTTGTGTTGTATTGTTATACTGTTCATCAATCTTTTTCTCATGATTTGGACAAATGCTTTACCCATTAAGGAAAGTTAGTCTTGGTTTGTGATACTTTGAAAATATTTCCTCCAGTTGGTTTTATCTTTTTAATTTTGTTTTGCCATGAAAAGTATTTTTTAAAATGTAGTTTATCTTACCAATTTTTCCCTTATGATTTCTGAATTTTGTATCATACTCAGAAAGGTCTTCTCCATTTCCATCCTTCCTTCTAGTATTTCTTTGATTTCATTCCCTCACATAAACCTTCACTCCATCTGGAATTTATTTTAGTATAAAGTATGAAAACAGGGGCCCAACTTAATTTTTTTTTGCAGATGGCTACCTAATTGTCCCAACATCACTTATTAAATAATTCACCTTTCCCCCCACTTATCTGAAGTCCTATCTTTATCAAATAGTAAGTTCCTATATGTATTTGTGTCTATTTCTAAACATTCTATTTCATTTACAAGAATGGTTAAGCATGATGTGTCAAAAAAGAAGAAGGAGGAGGAGAATAAGAATTATTTTCTAAACCTCTTTCTACTTTGAGGGTGGTCATAGAGAAATTGGCTTATTCTGGGCTACTCAATACAATACAGTAATCCTTGAAAGGCTAGTCCCAATGTATGTTTCTTTCATAAATATTTGAAAGAAAAAAGTTATCATGATAGTTAAAAACCATAATGGATAGAATGGATTTGAGAGTCAGACAGATCTCAGTTTCAGTCCCAGCTCTACACTTATTTAGCTGTGTGACATTAGGTGAGTTACTTGCCTTATCTGATCCTTAATTTCCTTATTTATAAAACAGAAATAAATACAGTACCTCTCTCATTGAGTCAGTTGAGAAGTGAATGAATGTAAAGTGCTTAGAATAGTCCTTACATGTAGTAAATTATTATTATTTACCTCTAGAGTGACCAACTCAACCCCATTTGCCCAGGATTTTCCTGGTTTTATTATGGAAATTCCCAAGTCCTGGCAACCTGCTTGGTCCTGAGAAAACTGGGACGTTTGGTCACCCTTAACCCTATTGTCATGTGCAGTGTGTATTTTTTCCCTCTATCAAAAGCATAGTACCCAGTATGTACATTGACTACCTCAACTTTTACAGCAATATCACAAAATGCGATTTTTTTCATAAACATAAAATCCATACTCTTATCTTATTCCAAATGAGTGCCCCTCCTTGGGGCTGGTAGACATTCTTTGGCCATCAGAGCCTAATCTAGGATTTCCTCTGGTTTCCACCTGAACTAAGATCAAAGAGCCCCCCTCCCACTGCCAAGAAGTGGTAGGTGTTGGGAGAGGAGAAGTGGGGGTGAGAGTCAAAATAAGGCTAGACAAAAACACAAGGCAGAATGACGCCAGGACACTGGAGACTGGGAATACTTTGCTTCTAGAATAAAGAAACACAGAGCAGTCTCCCCAGGACTGATTTGCTAGAATGTAAAAGAGCAGTTGTCTTCCTCACTCACTAATCAGTCTGACTTTAGCCCTGTAAGAAACTAGTGGGATATACATCACTGGGGAGGTAGTGCATCATGTATTTCCCAGATCCTACCACCAAAGCTGCACCTACTCTGGGGAGGTGTGTAGCAGGCTCTGAATCCACAAGGACAAAAGAGCCAGGTCCTGGCTGGTTGGAGGGGAGAGGAGAGAGGATTATCTGTGTTGGAGAAATCATGTCTTGGGCTTAATTATTCTGAATTTAATGTTGCAATGGAGAGAGCCCTGTACTGAAAGTCAGAAAACTAAGATCTCATTCCATCTCATTCTGTCTCTTTCACGAACTAACTCTAACCCTAAGCCAGCCCTTCTCCAAGGGCTGCCCCACACAACTCTAGGGGACATGTGTTATTCATAGAAACATGTGAATATACCCTTTTGGAGCTGGTGGTACTGAAACTGAACAGTACCCTGAGAGGCCATTTGAAGTACAGAAGCCCCGCTGTGTCCCCCATTTCTTGTTTGTAGAAAAAAGGCTCTCCTAGGCCTTCCCTGAGTTCTAAAGAGTAGACTCAAACAGCTACTAATTAGGGAAGTGAGGTAATGAGGAAACAAAGGAAAAGCAGTCAAGCAAGGGAAGTAATGATAGCTAAAACAATAGTTCATCAATAAAACAGAGTCCTAGTTCCTCCTAAAGGGATCTACCTAACAACCCAATGCATATCTTTGAGTTGTTCTGCAGGGACTAAGACTCCCCGCTACGCAGATAGAGGATGGTGACTACATGCTAACCACAAGCACACAGACCCCAGACTGGTTAGAACCAGAAGGCTGATGATTAAGATTTCCAAAACATCACCCTGGTACATCACCACCAACCAATTTGAAGAAAGTCCACAAACTACGACCCTCACCTGCAAATGTTGCCTTTAAAAACCCTTCTCTGAAAGCCATCGGAGAGTTTAGAT